CACACACACACACACACCAAAAAAAAAGAAAAGAAGAAGAAAAAAAGAAAAAAGGAGAAGACAAAAACAGCAAAGCAACATACACAAAAAAGAAAGAAAATAAAGGAATTAAATATGATCAATAAATAGGAAAAATAGGGGCTGGGGCTCAGTGGCAGAGCACTTGACTATGCATGTGTGAAGCCCTGGGTTTGATCCTTAGCACTACATAAAAATAAATAAAATAAAGGCATTCTGTCCACCTACATCTACAAAAAAAAAAAATTAAAGTAGGAAAAAATACATCATTCAGTAATCAAAGGAATAAAGCTAAAACAAAATTTGCAAAGATGAAAAGAATGTTAACAAACACTATGGGCCAGCAAAATAGACATTCATATTTCTGGTAAAAGTCCATACATTGGTAAAATTACATAATATGAAATTTAAAACTATTCTTATTTTTGAATAATTCTAGAAAAATTTCCAAAGAAAAGAACAAAAAAAGCCAGGGCCACAGATGAAGAAGAAATGGTGGAAATTCATTTGGAAAATCAAATGGGGGTGGGGAGAACTGCCTCAATACAGGCTAATCAGTGGATTATAATAATAGTGGAGGGTTGAAATGTAGTTTCAAAAGTGGACAATTTCTGTTCTTACATCTGTTCATAAAGAAAATCATAATGCCTTGAAATCACTCTTATATAAATAGATGACCTTTTTGCAGTGTAAATAAATAAATAAATAAATAATGTGCCCAGGAGTTATACAAAATTCTACAAAATTCTTTAATACAGAGTTTTATTGCTGGTGTTTAAATTACTCTAATAATACAGACTTGCAAATTTGATTGTTTGGTGTGCCAGGGATAGGACCCAGGACCGTGTGTGCTACAAACTCGCTCAACCTCTGAACAACACTCCTAACCCTAAAGTCCACTTAATCATTAAAAATAGTCTGGAGAACAAAACAAAATTAAAAAAAAAAAAAAACACTGAGCTACATCACTAGCCCTTTTTATTTTTCATTTTGATACAGCAAGCTAAGCTGACAAGACTGGCCTTGAACTTGTGATCCTCAGCCTCCCTAGCAGCTGGAGTTACAGGTATGCACTACCGAGCCCGGCTTGGAGAGAAATTTTTAAAAATGCTTATAGTAAATAATTAAGAAAGATGTCATAAATTATCTTTGTTTTCCTCTAAAAGGTCTTATTTTCCTCTTTGCTTATTTTCAAAATTTCTACAATGAATTTTTTCCCCTTATAATTAAGAAAAGATACAGCATGCACAGGGACCTGAATTCAATCCCAGAACTGCCAAATAAAGGGGGGGGTATGGTGGAGAGACAAGATACAACACTTTTTTTTTTTTTGAAGCAATCTATAAAAAAGAACATGTTTAATAACAGTAGAATGATAAGAGAAAATATTAGTTTTTTTGATACCTGTAAGAAAATAAGCAATTTAAATTCTGACCTAGAGTTATTGGTGGTGGTGGTGGCACTGGAGAGATGAGAAGAAATGTAAACTTCTCTAGACAAGAAATAATAAATTAAATAATAAAATAAATGTAAATTTCTCTAGACAAGAAATAATAAAAAGCTACATTAGAGCAGAAAGGAAGAAATAGGTAATCATTTTTTTTGTAATCAATGTTGATACCATGACAGCAATGTCACAGGCAAATCTGATAGCATAAAGAAATATGGGGAGATGAGAATAATGAGTTATAAAATAGCATTCTACTTATTTATGGAACATAGTTAAATGATGAATACAATTAGTATTGCACTAGAAAAACAGTTTGTGATTATACTAACAATTTGGATAGATGCTATGAAATGAGTTGATAAATATTTTTATAAAAAAGTTTTTCTGTTTTTCTGGTACTGGGGATCAAACCCAAGGCCTTGTACAACCTAAGTAAGCACTTTACCACTGAGCTATATCCCAGCTCTAGAAGTTTTATATTTTTATGGAGTCAACCCTGCCACCTTTTCTTTTATGACTTTATGACTTCCAGTGAAGTTTGGGAGCGTGGCTCTAGCATTATGAAAACTGTACTATAGAGGCTGGGATTGTGGCTCAGAGGTAGAGCACTTGCCTAGCACATGCAAGGCCCTGGGTTTGATCCTCAGCACCACATTAATAAATAAATAAATAAAGGTATTGTGTCCAACTATAACTAAAAAATAAAATATTTTTTTTAAAAAAACTGTACTATATGAAAAATGGAGCCATGAGAAAGCTGCTGGAGGACCCAAGGTATTGACAAATCACCCAACTCTACGTGACAAAAGAAATTTAAGCAAATTCAAGGAAGAGAAAGAGTCCAGAGTATTTAGCAGATAATTGGAATTTGGAGAGAGAAAAAACTCACAGATGACCCCAAGATTTGGAGCCCAGATAACATAAAGACATTGATGTCATTAACACAGTGCAGTACAGGGATGGTGAAATGGGTCTGCATGTAATGATGGGAAATTCCCACTTGGTTTTGGGCACAATTGCGGTAACTAGCTCCCAAATGGTCTCAATGATCCTTGTCCTAAATTCTGTCTTTTTTTTTTTTTTTTTGGTACCAGGGATTGAACCCAGAGGCACTTAACCTCTGAGCCACATTCCCATTGTGTGTGCTTGTGTGTGTGTGTGTGTGTGTGTGTGTGTGTGTGTGCGCGCGCGCGCGCGCGCGCATGTGCTGGGGATTGAACCCAGGATCTTGTGCATGCAAGGCAAGCATTCTATCAACTAGGCTATATCCCCAGCACCCTCCAGTCTGGTTTTTATTTTTAATTTTGAGATAGGGTCTAAGTTACTGAGTCTGGCTTTGAACTTGTGATCCTCCTGCCTCTGCCTCCTGGGCTGCTGGGATTACATGACCTCATCCAGCCCTTGTCCTAAATTCTTGGTGCATAGAAACTGTGAGATGATTATGTTTAGCATTTAAGGAACTAATATGTTACACAGCAATAGATCACTAACATAGATATTACTTAGAGATATCTAGCTGGAAAGTGAAATGTGGAATGAAGGAGCAGGAAGAAGAGTAATCTGCTTAGTGGTAAACACTGAAGTGAAATGAAGTGATTACCAGGTGCTTATGTGCAGAAAGAGAAGGTCAGCAAAGGGCAGATGACTGGGGACATACAGAGAGTGAGGAAAGAGAGGGGCCTCGGGAACAGCAGTCAGATAAACAAAATGAGTGAGCAGAACAAAGTCATAGAAGAAGACTATAACAGGGTACTAGAATAAGAGAACACTATGAATATGCCATGGATCCATAATACGGGACCTGTATTGGCAAATTGCATTATGTCTGAAGTTAATCATTCACATATGAGGTTTAACTTAGGTTTGGGTAGTTTTTAGGGAGTTTCTTTTACAACTTTCTTTTAAAGTTCTTTTACAACTTTAAAAATTGTGGTAAAATATATAAAAGACACAATTTATACTATTTTAATCATTTTTAAGAGTACAATTATTCTTAACAAAAATTGGAACTTCTCAACTTTACCTTTGCAAAATTGATCTCTTTTATGACACAGTGCTTGCTATCCAATTTTTCTTTAGCCAAGTATGCTTTTCCAAAGGCACCTTCCCCAATGATTTTAATCATGTCAAATTTATCCATGGTCTACAGTGCTCGAAGGTTTCTGGGAATAAAGTATTGAAATTTTACTGCACATTCCTCATAACAAAGTCAGATTTTTTTTTTTTGGACTGGAAATTGATCTCAAGGGCACTTAACCACTGAGCCACATCCCCAGCCCTATTTTGTATTTAGAGACAGGTGTGTTGTTTAGCACCTCAGTTTTGCTGAGGCTAGCTTTGAACTCATGATCCTCCTGCCTCAGCCTCCCAAGCCGTTCGGATTATGGGCATGTGCCACTGCACCGGGCCAAAGTCAGAAAATTGATGACTAAAATGTAAAAGAACTGACGTTGCGAAAATTTCCCTTCCAACTTTGCAAAGACAGAATCAAATAATTTCCTTCCATTGTGACCTTGAGCAAGTCACTTAACCTTGCAAAACCTCACTTTTCAGGTTTTAAATGGAAATAATACCTGTGTTGAAAGTTTGTTCTGACAAGGAAAGATCTTATATCCCTGGTGCCTGTCACCTCCAGAGAAGAGGAATATCCTTATGTCGGTGTGGTAGCACAATCTAGCCCTTCTCAGTGAGAAGGTGCCGCCCCCTAGGGGAAGCTTGTAAATTGATACGGGGTTTTCAGCTTTGCACAGAATCAGAGGCATTACAGTATTTAGAGGCAGTTAGGGTCTGCAATACTAGTTGGCAAGCGAAGGCCTGCACTACACAGTAAAGGATTGCCCTGCCGCTCAAACTTGGAAAGTCTCCTGGTACATTTACATGTGTAGAAGAATCCGTTCACAATTATCTGCGGCTTGACCCAAATTCTGTTTTACCTCTAGACATTATATATATATATATATTTTCCTACAGGTATAACTCACACTGCATTTCCTACGAATGATATGTAGATATCATTTATTGCATTCTTTATTGCATTTTGGAACTTTACCAAAAATTGTTCACCATTTTTGAAAATCACGCCCTCCATTGGCCGCGCTCAGAGACCCAGCAATCTGCCCGCCGCCGCCACATTCAGGAGACTGCAGTACTACTTTGTAGTAGTGCTACGCACTTACAGAGGGAAATACACACTTTGTCTCCTTCTACTTCCCTTTATGCTACCATTAGAACATAACGCGGGTTTTTAAAAATCAGGTGAACAAGACAGGTTGTTTTTCCATGTCAGGGTAGGAAGTGGGCACCAAAGCGTTGCCAGCGGAGACCACGGGCACCAGAAGACCAGGTTCTGAACCAGGCGGGGGCGCAATCGCGGGATTCAGACCACCAGTCCTGGAATAGAAGGCGCATGACAGAGGACCACCCTTGGAGTTTGCTGGCTGGAGGGCTGCCCGGTCGCCGCCTGTGCTCAGGAGCTCAGCGTCTTGCGCGTTGCCATGGAGCACGACACAGCCCTGGACACTAAGCAACTCCTCGCCGGCCAGGCCCCCCAGTCTGAGACTCCATCGGCCCTCCCCACCCCACTCCCATCACCGCCCCGCCCCGCCGCCCCCTGCGGATCCCGGGGCAGCTCCATCTAGGGACGAGGCCTGCCCGCAGCATACCTTTCTGCCGGCTCCTGGCTCCCCTAGGCCAGCAAAGCGTCTGGGTGGATCCAGGTTTCCCAGGCAGCTGAAACTGCCGGTGGCCTGGGCGGAGCCAGTGAGGGAACACAGGTAGGGTGCCGGGCTAGAGACAGGACACCTGTCTGCACCGTTCACCCTGAAAAAAAAGGGCAGAGACCCAACAGATAGATCACCAATCTCCTAATGCCTTAGGTCGCGACCGCTAGCATAACACAAGATCTATACCGGTCCCTGCTCTTTTTAGGGAGCACCTTGCATACATTTTTCTCTATTCTTTAAATCACCTCCAAAGAGGTAGTCTCCCAGTTTTACAAAATGAACTGGACGGAGGCAGGAAGCATATTATTTGTTTTTGTCATGGTGGTGGTGCCGGGGATTGAACCAGGCACTTGGCGTAGGTTGAGCCAGTGCTCTACTACTGATCTACACTCTGAGCAGGAAATGTGTGTTGTATAGGGCCTTAAATACTGTCATGGGTGTATGTGAGACAGATCCGGTCCTACTCTTGGCCACAACCCTCGCCTTCCTTTGGGTCCCCTTACAAACTATCTGCTGCCCAGTAGTTTGCAAACTGGCCCTCTCACCCTGTCCTATTCCTGATTGGCACATCAAGTTGCAGTCTAATACAGTTCATTACCTGTCTAAGTAGTTGAAAGGATGTAACTTTCACCAAAGGTAAATCCTGACACAAGTAGAACACGTCCATATCCAATGAATCTAAATAACATGACCATTTAACCCATCTTTGACACTCATACACTGCTGGTGGGACTTCAAATTGGTGTAGCCAATATGGAAAGCAGTATGGAGATTCCTTGGAAAATTGGGAATGGAGCAACCATTTGACCCAGCTATCCCTCTTCTCAGTCTATACCCAAAGGACTTAAAAACAGCACACTACAGGGACACAGCCACATCGATGTTTATAGCAGCACAATTCACAATAGCTAAACTGTGGAACCAACCTAGATGCCCTTCATAGATGAATGGATTAAAAAATGGCATATATATACACAATGGAATATTACTCAGCAATAAAAGAGAATGAAATTATGGCACTTGCAGGTAAATGGGTGGCAATGGAGAAGACAATGCTAAGTTAGCCAATTCCAAAAAAAACAAATGCTGAATGTTTTCTAAGGTGACTGACTCATAGTGGGGTAGGGAGGGGAAACATGGGAGGAAAAGATGAACTCTAGATAGGAAAGAGAGGTGGGAGGGGAAGGGAGGGGGCAGGGGGTTAGCAAGGATGGTGGAATGTGATGGACATCATTATCCAAAGTACATGTATGGAGACATGAATTGGTGTGAACATACTTTATATATAACTAGAGATATGAAAAACTGTGCTTTATATGTGTAATAAGAATTGTAATGCATTCCTCTGTCATTTATTTAAAAAAATCAATAATAAAAAGTAACCCACCTTTGTCCAAAAACAAACAAAAAACCAACCACTGCCTGTAAAGATCTATCAATAACTAAAAAAA